TCCTTTTATGGACCCATCTCCTGTAAAATTTATTGAATTTTTATTGTAGAGCAAAAAGGAAAAACTCTGATATGTACATAATATGAAAGATATGCAATATAAAGTGGAAATTAAAGAAGTTTTAGATATTAATGACTCGTGAGCGCCGTAATAAGAAGCTCTTTATTATGTTCCAAGTTGGAAAATTTAGGCTTAAACGAGCAGGGCACACCGAATTTCATAAAAAATTTTTTTTTTTAAATTGCGCCTGTTTTTCTAGAATTACTGGACGATAATGTAAACCGATTTTGACGATCTTTCAGATTTAAGCTTTTCTCATTAAAACCAGCATATGCTCTGAATTTCATCAAAATCGGATAACATTTACTATTTCCGCCCACAAGAGTTGTGGGCGTGGTAGCGCGTTGAATTTTACAATTTTCCACAGTTCATCATTCCTAAGTGCCGAACAGCCCATATACGAAATTTCAGCGAATTTTTAGTACGGTTACTACTTTTGGCCGCAACTTATATGGGGACGTCCTACTGTGCGCCGCGAGCAAAAAGGCATACTAATGCTTTTCATAGGGGATGAGTTGGCAGACTGTCTCATCAACGGGTATGATGCTACTAGTATTTCTACTAGTAGATGCTGATGCATAGCCTGACAATTGACATCTCGTAGGACATCGCAATGTTAAAAATACCAGTCGCTAACATTGAAAAAGGATAGAACGTGAACTAGTTGGGCTGAAACGCAAACTGGTAGAATTCTAGTTCACAACTAGTAGCTTTCCCTGCAGGGACTACATACATATGCATAATACGTGAAGAGATTTTTTGTCCAGGTCATCAGATCTGCACCGTCCATTCGATTTTAAAAAATGAGGGGTCAAATTAAAGGGATTCGGCTGTAGATGTGCAATAAGGTTTTACTTTTTCGAAAAGAGTTGCCAGCTGTTAAATAATTAAATTCAAATTATTTAATAATAATTGTCATAACACAGGCCAACAAGGTTTTCTAAGCACTATATTTTTCTTTATACTATACTTTTCCGAAGGTCTTTGACGTGATGAATTCGAGTCTGACCCCAAAATAGCCCAATCACGTCAGGTTTTCGAGAAATTCTAACCTAAAAGTACAAAAATCACGGTAGATAACGACATAATCTTTCTGAAAAAAAATTTCTCATCGTGTTACAGGAGCTCAAATATGCCTAAAAACCGCGATTTTTGTACATTTAGGTTAGAATATCTCGAAAACCTGACGTGATTGGGCTATTCTGGGGTCAGATTCGAATTCAGCACGTAAAAGACCTTCGGAAAAGTATAGTCCGATTCTTGGTTAGAAAATTGTATGAAATGTTGTCTGCCTGTGTAATATGAGGCAGACAGTTAGTAAAGAGTTAAGGAAAATATTTTGAAGAGTGGTGCCACCTGTTTGAATTGAATTAAATTACATATCGATGGCTGAGTGGAAGATCGACCTATCTCGGCAGCCAGTTTGAAAACATTCTATCTCAAAAAACTTTTCAAGAACGCCCTATTTCAGAATTCGTTTCAAAAACGCCCTATCTCAGCTGCCGATTCAAAAACGCCCTATATCGGCATATTTTCAATACATTTTGAAGTGAGATAGGGCGTTTTTGAACCGAATTTTGAGATAGGGTGTTTTTCAATTAAATTCTGAAATAGGGCGTTCTTGAAAAGTTTTTTGAGATAGAGCGTTTTCGAACTGGCTGCCGAGATAGGTCGATCATCCACTCAACCATCGATATACACTTGTTATTTGGGATATTAAAAATACGTGTCAGAAAAGAGAGATTTAAGAAATATTTAGTTTCAACATTTAGCCTGGGGTATTAACATATGTGTGCCAGACGAAAGAAGTTTAGCAAAATATTTTGAAGAGTGGTGCCACCTGTTTGAATTGAATTAATTACATATACGTTTGTTTAAAGAGTTTTAAGAAATCTTTAGTTTAAACATTTATAATATATTCGGGGTGTTTAAAGAGGGTTACCACCGATTTAAAACGTTAAATTCAAAGTATTTAATACGTTAATTGAATTATTAAAAGATAGTATCAGTCAAAATGGGTTTGAAAATCATTTATTTCTTAACTGATTTTAAGAGGGTTGCCATGTGTTTAACAAATCAAGTTGAATTTGACCCATCAGCTAATTGAAATATGTATCACAATGGCGGATGAAAGAGATTTAAGAATATTTTAGTTTGGCGTGCTCTGTTTCAAAAGTCGAATTTAATTATATGAAATATTAAAATAAGGTCGTCAAACGAAATAGTGCTAAGAAATCTTTAGTGTGAACATATAGAAATTTTTGGGGTATTTGAATAGGTTTGCCACCTGTTGAAAAAGTTAGGTTTAAATTATTTAATACGTTAAAATAATTATTAAAATATGGATATGCACCGAAATGGGTTTGAAAAGAATATATTTCTAAATTGTATCTAGGAGGGTTGCGACGTGCCAAAAAAATCCAATTCAATTTAATCCATCAGTTAATGGAAACATGCATCACAATGTCAGATGAAAGAGATTTAAAAAGATTTTATTTTAATAATACTTTTAAAATATTTGTTTTTGTTATTTAGTCAATTTTATTGTGGAAACACAAAAATAATTTATGAAAATTGGTAGAAGTGATAGATATTTCGGAGATTACCACATCTCCTCATCAGACTTCTTCAGTGGGATTCGATCCGGAGATTACCACATCTCCTCATCAGACAGTGGGATTCGATCCAACGACTCCAGCTGACTCAGCCAGTGGCCTACCAACTGCGCGCTAAGTTCGCCTCATAAACTGTTATTTCTTCTTCAAAGCTCAATAAAATTGTTGAGAATACTTTTAAAAGTTAAAATAAATATTAAAATATGAGTGTCAAACGAAGCAGTTTTAAGTATTTAAGTTTGAAAATATTCTGTACTAGATTTGCCACCTATTTAAAAATTAATGTCTACCTAATTATGTAAATATATGTACTTATATAATACACGAATGCCTTTTTTGAAAGTCGACAGATCTCAACCGTAATGTCGAATTTCAAAAATGAGAAGTCAAATTAATAAACAATGCCTGTAGATATGGAATAAGGTTTTATTTTTTGAAGTTAGAACGATCTTCTGACGGGTTCAGGACGGATTTAGATAAAATATTTTGAAACTTTTTAGGAGCTTCAAAGTTAAATTCAATTTTGGCTTTTGAAGCCATGCGGGTTCACTAGTTATTATTATTATTTGATTGGCAAATTTGTTCTGAAAATTACTAGGGCTATTCGCGATCCGGTGTAAATGGCCTAGCATCATTGCATTGCAAATCTGTATTGCAAATTATTTGCAATACACAAACAAAATACACGCATTTGCATTTGTCATGGCTTGACAAATTTGCAATACCGAAAATCCATAGCATAAAAATGCTATGCATAGCAACTCTGGTTGACATTTCTATCAGCCGATTAAAAAAGTTTTACCATGACAGTTTAATAAAGGTCACTCACAATCCATGGCATATTTCTTCAATTGAATAAATTTGTCAGCTCTTATGCACCGAATCGCGAATAGCCCTACTGAATCTATCGAGTTGCAAAATAAATAACATAACACTTCAGTAATACACAAACAGTTATTTTATAGTAAAGTTTTATATTCGAATATCCGGATATCTATACATTTTTCGGATATTCGAATATCTACACACTATTCTAATGTCGTGACATTTGAATTGTTTATTCATATATTTGAATATCCGGATTATCCGGATAGTCAAAAAGTCCGTATAGAACTCCCAAGTATGTACATATATGTACCAGGGTTGCTGCGAATATTATTCCGAAATAAAAGAACTTTCCGGATAATAAACAAACCGCTTATCCAAATTAAACAAGTTTGGCATCAAATTAAAGAGTACTTTAATATCTTTATGACTGAAATGTCTAAACGAGGAAAGCCACATATTTAAAAATATTTCAATACAAAATTTTAATGAATTACCATAGAACAAACCTTGTGTCAGGTGTATGCATTTCTTTAGTATTAAATTATAAAAAAAATATAAATTAAGGTCATTCGCTATTTCTGTTTAATAGCTATTTCATTCTTCTTTCATATGATACAAAATTTGTTTAATTTGGACAGGCGGTTTGTTTATTATCCGGAAAGGACGTTAATTTCGAAATAATATTCGCAACAACCCTGATATGTACACACAAACATATTTGTGGATCAAGATGTAAATACATACATACATACATATGTATGTACTTATTAAATTTATTCCAAATGCACAAAAACATTGCGGTTCAAAAACCTGATATATGTACATACATACATGCATATATTCGTACTTATTTCGAGAATTTCGTTCACCAGATTAGTAAAAATTAAAATAGGTTTTAATGTAAGATAAACCTGAAAGGAACTTTGCAATTAACGCACTTGTTACAGTTTGTTTCCATTATGAAAATTTACGCCAACCTCGATTATATTCGCAATGATGTAGAAAACTTCAAATTTGAATAAAATTCAGTTCAGTTTTTGAAAAATATTCGCAATATCAACGTTTGAATAATTTTGATTATAAGCTAAATATTTATGTAAAACGGTCTAAATAATTTTTCCGTTGCTTCTCGCGTGTGTTCTTCACAGGTCCACTAATCGATTGCAAAGCTTTAAACTGGCTCTTAAAATTCGCAAAAATCTCACCTATACTTCATCCACACCCCCTTCGCCTTCACCATCTAACATCAAACCCGCTTTTGATTTCTCATCCAAAACTAATCCTGAAATCAAGCTTTCATCATTATCATCATCGCTCTTGCCGGCATCATTGCTGAGTTCCACATTTCAGAATTTCTTACCATACGCCATTGCAGGCATTGCGTCGGGACCGCAGAATTTTTTGCCGCCGCCCCTGCCACCCACTTCGACCAGCATCACCAGCACGGATTCCATCCCTCAGACAACCGCGGTCACAGCAGTTACAACACAAGCAACAATGGGTGGCCCCCACCCGCCCTTGCCGCCGACCATTGAGGGTCAAACCTATTGCCTGCGCTGGAATAATCACAAATCAAACCTAGTCGAGATTCTAGATGCCCTCATAAAAGTCGAGAGCTATGTTGACTGTACAATTGTCGTCGATGAACAAGTGCAATTCAAAGCACACAGAGTAGTTCTGGCCGCCAATTCGCCATATTTCCAGGCAATTCTACAGGATGTGCCCATGGATCACTGCAGCATTATTTTTCCGGGTGTTAAGGCATTCGAAATGCGCGCACTCCTCGATTACATGTACACTGGAGAAGTGAATGTAACACAGAGTCAAATACCCTCAATAATGCGTATTGCCGAAGAGTTGGAGGTGAAGGGTCTTTTCGACATGGCCGATCTTAAAGAAAAGTTCAACAGACTAAGTGAAGAACATGCGGAACGGTCTAGTCATGGTTATCCATATACGGCTGGCAGCGCGTCGGCCCTCACAGCGCCTTATGCCATCGCTGCTAGTTCATCCTCCGCACAGGGTATACCAACAGGCGTGCACAACGGTGCTAAGGATCATGGCATCGATTTGCCTTTACCAACCCAACATAATTCCTCATCCGTGATCTCAACATCTTCAAACATATCGCCATCCGCTGCAGCTTCTAGTACCTCATCCCCACCTTATACCAACTACAAGTCCCCATACTCTAATCTGTATACCAAGTCCCCTGGTCCCCCCAATTGTGGTGGATCGGCTAGCGCTGGTAGCGCAGGGCAAACTAATTCCGCAAATACTCCACAGACACCCACTCATTTACAATCACAGTCATCCAATGCAGAGCACGGCCAATGGCCCTTATCGCCATCAGCAGCAGTCAGTATGTTGGGCTCTGTCTACGATTCTGTTCCCGACAATCCTCTCAAACGTAAAAAGCTCTCATCGATGACGTCAATGCTAATGAATCGTGACACGCCAATTTTACGCAACGTCTTGGCTCAAGCCAATCCCGCCGACTCATCCCAGCCAATGGCATTCTCATTGCCAGGAGCCAGCAAAACGGATAAGTCAAATATCGATAAAAACTCTTCAAATACCGGAACAATGCCAGGGCCCAATAATAATCACGGACAACACTTTAACGGCGTCGACTATAGCGGTGATAAGGTCAGTATGCTCCATAAATCTCTTACTTTAATGTTGAGTGTACAGATAGTTTTACTACAGCTTTAGGCAAATACCATGGGCAAATACATATATATGTAGGTAATATCATTTTACTTTTGAATCACTTTTCAGAAATATCATGATGAACCACACTCACCTTATACCGACAGATCATTCGAAGACGATGGTTATGATGCAAAGGGCAGCTACAGTGGTGGCTTTAGTTCCAACGCGAATCAGAAACCAGAATGGAAACGCTATAAACAATACACGCGTAGCGACATCATGTCAGCTATTCAATGTGTGCGAGAAGGTATGAGTGCGCTTCAAGCTTCTCGTAAGTTCGGAGTTCCGTCGCGCACACTGTACGACAAAGTCAAAAAGTTAGGAATCACCACGGGACGACCGATGAATCGCACCATGAAACGTAGCCCTAGCAATGTAGACTCATCGGCTGCTTTCGCTTACCCGCACGGTTATGGCGCCGAACCATTGCTTTCATCGATACATGACGGGCACAACGACGAGCGCGAACCGAAAGATCACCATCGCTCTGAACACCATCATATTGCACCTCAGCTGCCGCATTCATTACTGGATCACGCATTGTTACAGCAGGCACTGGAGAGTCGAGGTGGAGACATAGCCGGCCGAGGCGCACTGTTGCTAGCGGCGGCGGCGCATGCTGCTGCCAATCGTATCACAACCAGCCCTGGTCCCAATGGGCCAACTGCGGTGCGCTCTCCAAGTCCTCCTAATTACGGAAGAAAATACGGGCGTATGAGAGAGCAAGACTTTTCACTGGATCGTGAACGTGGCAGGGATCGTGATGGTGGTTCGGAAAACGAACGTCGTATGCTGGAAAGCGATATGGAACATGGGCGTGAACTATCAATGGAAAGCGCACGTGAAAGAGAGTATGAACGAGAGCATGAGAGAGATCAAGAATGTGAGAGGAAGCGTCTGCACGAATATGAACGTGCGCATGAGCGAGACCTAGAGCCCGAGCGCAAGCGTGAAAACCGACGACACTCCCATGAAGATGTGGAAAGTGCTGGCCACGTTGAAGATCTGTCTGTATCACGGAAGCGATGCCTTTCCCCACGACTTGACCCTACAGAGCGGCGCGCGCGTTCACCGTCGTACTCGCCACCACCGCCACCACCTCCAACACTTTCTGGATCAGCTATCCAATCGGCAGTCGAATGCGGCACCGGAGTTATAAAACTCGCCACCGCAGCAGCAGTGGCACTAGCACCTGCCGCCACTAGCCCGGTCGAGGACAGAAGTCGAAGCTCAAGCCGAAACAGTAACGGCTTAACGATCGCTGACAATGACATCATCGATGACTACAACAACGAATCAGCCTCCGCGCTAGAAGCAGCAACAACAATGACAACGATAAAGCGCGAAATCGTGAACATGGACGATGGTCGCACCGACTGATTAATGCTATCCATGGCGTGGCACTACGCAGCCGATACCTGTTATGAATCATTGTTTCTGACCCGTTGACTCTTTGCCATGCGTGCTATGCGGCGCTGGGTACAGTCTAAAAAAAACTGGGAGCTGACACAGCTTAATATAAGGTAGTTATGGTACAACTTAAGAATGATCTTGTGTATGTGAGTATGTAGAAATGTACAAGTATACGTAACTGCAATAGTGCAATAAGCGGATAGAGGCCTGAACTAAGAGAAGCTTTAAGTGAGTACACATATGTATAGCCAGACATATACATACATACATATGTATACATATGTATGTATGTTTGTATGTACATTAGTAAGTGGAGCATTCCTCTACGGCAGACGGTAAAAACTTAGACAATGTAGACTTTTCGTTAACTCAGTGAATGTTTAAAATATTTTTTTTGTTATTGGTGTTATATTTCTGCGAGATTCGCACTAAATGTATAAAATATAAAAATCGATTTATTATAAAAAAACCTGAAGAGCATTAATTTGTATTTACAAAACTCTAATACATATGAACATGGTAAACACTTATGCTCAAACAAATGTACTAGATGCGATTTGCACTGTTTCGTTTAAAAGGGAAAGAGAGAGTTAATGAAAACAAACTAAAGTAACTGTTGTCAGAATCACCCTGTGCCTAAATGTAGACTTTTATATACATAAATAAAGAAAATACTACACATTAGATATTTAGCAATATTGGAGTAAATTTACAGTAAGTTTAACTAAAACGTACCTACAGGAGTGGAAGATGGACCTATCCCGGCAACCAGTTCGAAAACGTCCTATCTCAGAAAAATTTTCAAGAACACCATACTTAGGAATTTGATTGAAAAACGGCCTATCTTAGAACTTGGTTGAAGAACACCCTATCTCAATACATTGCACGTTTAATAATATAGAGATGTAATTCAAAAGTTACGTTTTTGGAGATCTCAACATACAATTAATAAGCATGATAAGAAGAATATGCTCAGCCTAACAGATGACTAAACTTACCAAAAGTGCCGAAGATATCTGTCTTTCCATCTGTCTTTCGGTATACCAATTGTATGAATTTATCAAACTTTGATGGTGTTTTTCCACAAAATTAAATATTTTAAATAATTCTGTGTATTATTATACGTGCGACATTTTTAATGTATCTTTAGCTAAGATAAGGCCTTTTTGAACCGAATTCTGAGATAGAGCGTTCTTCAATCAAATTCTGAAGTAGGGCGTTCTTGAAAAGTTTTCTGAGGTAGGGCGTTTTCGAACTGGCCGCCAAGATAGGTCGATCTTCCACTAAGGTGACGATATATACATATACATATGTATGTAAGCAACTCCATTTACGTCGTGACACTTTTATGTAAAACATAATGATTATTTGTTCACCTCACCAAGGCACTCAGATGTGCATGCATACTAACATAAAGATATGGATGTATAATTAAAAACATGACTGTCCAACTTTGAGACCTAAAGAGAGGAAAGAACGCAAGACTGAAGAGATGAAAGCCCTTCATTGGAAAGCTCCCAGAAGCTCAACTAAATAGGTCAGTGGACTTAAATATTCGACACTCTTGCTCAATTGAAAGTTTGTCTATATTTGTGCCCCAGTGGTTGCATGAGTTTGAAGATTGATCTATTTGAAAATATAAAAAGTCTGAAATCGGCGTAATATTTGAGGGATTGGCATTCCGTTGAATTTGGAGGCTGTGCTGACGGTTTGCGAAAATTAATGATCCGACAATTCTTAAATTAAGCATACTTTTTTAAAATAAGCCGGATTAGGAATATAAAAGCTTTTCATTATTAACTTAAAGCATAAACAGACGGCAGCGTTGATCCGGATCAACTCGGGAATTAGCTGCAGTTGATCCGGATTAAGTCCGAGTTGATCCGGATCAACGCTGAAGTCTGTTTAGCTTTTACAAAAATACTCTGCATCATTCTAGCACACCTACAGAATGCTGCCTTGCCCAGAAATAAGTGTGCAAAAAATATTATTTGAGTCATTTTATATTTACAGGTGTCCCGACAGGATTGAATAAAACTCTACATATTTTGAAGTGACTTTTAAAAAGCATTTTTGAGACAAATTTGAACCCGCTGAACGTGAATTTGGTATCCATTTATTTTTGCAAAGAACGTTTTTCGAAATCACTGCTAGAAATATCATTGAAAGGCCCCGATAACAGTTTTCGCCTATATCTCGAAAACTATTTTTTGGAAAAATGAATGGCTATCAAATTCGTGTTCAGCAGGTTCAAATTAGTCTAAAAACACCTCTTAAAAAGTCACTTAAAATTCTGTTAATACAGTTTTGTACGTTTTTTTTTTAACTTAATCCTGTTAGGCCACCTCTAAATAAAAAATTAGGCAAATAATATTTTGCACCCTTATTTGTAGGTATGCTAGAGCGATTTTGGAAAAAAACATAATTTCATTCCACCTTAATGTACATACATATATACATATGTACCCTGCAAGGAGTGACGTTAGATTATACCTAACTTTAGTCTGTTTACGCGAACACTAGTGCTTACTATTAACTGTATTTTTGTTCGAAAAAAGCTAACTACTTTTGTGGGCCGATGGCTGCAAAAAAGCCAGACCTGGGGCTTATTTCATAGAGTGACATTGGTAATTTTGTAACAACAGGCTTATTCCGTATTTTCCGTGACAATTCGACAGCTTGGTGGGTGTTTTGTTTCATAAAAACAATTGTCACCACCGCTTCAATTCCATGAGAAAATTCATTGAAAAAATTACAAATTGTCATTGTAGGGCTTTAAAATTGTCGTTGACAAAATTGTCGCCAGTCATATGAAATTTATATGTGATTCATATGTAATAATTGCAAATGCATTATTTAGTTTAAAGATATATTCAAATTATTGAAAAATAATGAAATGCGCGCAATTACCATATAAATAATAATAATAATAATAATAATAATAATAGATTGGCGCTTACACATATGTTAGTATTTGGCCGAGCTTCTCCTCCGATTTGTGGCGTGCGCCTTGATATTGTCACACAAAGCGGAGGGACCTACAGTTTTACGTCGACTCCGAACGGCGATTGTATTTTTATGAGAAGCTGTTTTTCATGGCAGAAATACACTCGGAGGTTTGCCATTGCCTGCCGAGGGACGGCCGCTGTTAAGAAAAAACCGTTTTCTACATTTTTTTTTTTAATGTTGCTTTGACCTGGGCTTGAACCCAGGTGCTGATGAGTGAAAGCGCGCACTGCTTACCACTACACCACAGCGGCCGACCATATAAATAAATTTACAAAATTATCGTGTGAAAACATTCTGATGGAGCTATTTAGTTTTGGCGCTATTGTCGCGACAATATTGTCCGAGTGACATTTGTCATCACCAGGGAACGGATTTTTATGACCTAAAAACCTATAAAAAAGGCAAAATAAAGTAACGAAATAGGCTGGAAAAGGCAAATTTAAATAGCGAAAAAGGCAAGAAAAGGCACTAAGTATTGCAAAAAAGGAAAAAAAAGGCAAAACAAAATAGCGAAAAAGGCAGGAAAAGGCACTAGGTATTGCAAAAAAAGCAAAATAAGGCACTAAAAAAAAGAACAGAAAATATGAAGAACAATCAAACAATACATTTATTTTAGAAATGTTTATATTACAAGTAAAAAGAGAAAAACTATGAACTAGTGTCGTTATATGAAAAATTTGTACTTTGAATCTTTGACTATTTTATCCTTTCGAGTTTCTAACTCATAAAACTTTAATCTGAATAGTTGTAGTAACATTGAACCACTAGATGCATTTTGAAGTTTTCTGGCAGCATTTTCATTCGATTTTCGCGAAGAAAAGCCTTGAATGTACTAAATGTGCGCTCGACGTAAGTTGGTACAAGTGGAGCCCAATTTAAATATAGAACGTTTGAAACGTTCATATTATCAGGATAAGGGCATTTTCCTCGCCCTTTACAATTTTATCCACACCCGTTATTGTCTCCAACCCTACGTTAGCTGAGAAAACGACTTTGAATTTTTCCAACACCAATTTGGCAAGAGGTCCCTGCGCTTCAATAAGCCGCATGGGCATGTGTATATTTTTTAATTAAAAAAAAAATATGTAAATGCTATAATCACTTTTTTAAAGGTAGAAAAGGCAAAAAAAGGCAAATATCTTAAAAAAGGCAAAAAAAGGCAACATCAAATGTATATATATGGAATCAGGGAAAGCTAAATCGTGGACATTCTTAATCGAATATACTCTATCTCGTTAGCAGAAAAAAAGGCAATTCCCATAAAATCCGTTCCCTGGTCATCACCATTATCGCCAATATTCCAGTACTGTCACTGCCGCTTTTCAAAAATTTTCACAGCTGCCTACAAGCGTACACTGCCGGAACAAAGTATTGGCACAGCAAATTTTTCACAATATATGCAACAACTTTTATTCTGATATTTTTCCGCCAATTTCGTATACAAATATGCTTCATTCAACAACAAAAACCATAAAAATAAAATGCCCAAACTTTGTGCAAAACTCGCGAAAATTCAGCAAATTTTCATCAAAATTTTCAACATTTTAATCAGATTTTTTAGATTTTTTTTGAGTATGCAGTTTTGCAGCCCATTAAATTCTGGTATAAAAATGCAAGTTCAGAGTTAGTCAAAAATCACGTTGATTCTTGAGAATTTTTTTATTGAAGGTGTTTTGCATTTTTTAAATGCAAATGCATATAAAGTATGTTCGAAAAAAAAATTGTTTGTATGAAAGAGACTGCGTGAAAAAAAATTGCCAAAAATCAACGGCAATTCTTAGCTATTTAAAACTTGCACTTATAAAATTGTTTGGGCTACAAATCTGCATACTCAAAAAAATTCAAAAAAATCTGATTAATGAAAATTTTCTGAATTTTCGGAAGTTTTGCACAAAGTTTAGGAATTATATTTTTATGTTTTTTGCTGTAGAATGAACTATATTTTTATACGAAATTAG